TGTGACGTGAATGTGTGAGACTTCTGGCGTCATTCGCTCCCAGTGATTATAGCTCTACAAAAACAGCCCATGTGCTGCTTTATAGTGCAAGCTGCTATCATAACCCTAAACTTCTCATAACAATGAGAGTGTACAAAGCAGAAGGGTGTGTGTGTGTGTGTGTGTGTGAAGGATTTATGTTTTGATGTCAGGTTAAGCTCTTCATGTGTTCTTTTCTAAAGGTAAAAAGGTAAGAGCTTCTTTGTCTGTCAGTCATGAATCATGAGACAATGCAGAGAGACTCTTCAGACAGTGTTATCAGACCGCTGAAGACCATCTGTCAACACACACACACACACACACACACACACACTAACTCAGCATGGTTAATCCGTCACCCTGATGTTTCTGACCTGTGTGTTTAGGCAGATTTTCTCTCTTTTGTGAGATTACGCTGGCCAGGCCCCATGGAATGTGAGAGTGTGTGTGAGTGTGTGTGTGTGTGTGTGTGTGTGTGTTTGAGCCCCCTGGCTTGTGTTTTGATGTTAATGATGACTTTTAAATGTCAGAGCTGGCCAGGTGTCAGGGTGAGGAAGAGAAGAGAAAAGCTTTGGTTTATAATGACCCTACAGACCTAAAACACATACATACACATCTTTACATGACACATAAAAAAAAAAACAGTGAATATATACAGTATATGCAGCCTTGATGAGCAAAATACATATTTATTTAATGTATATAATTTATAATGTGTCATTTCTCTTATGTGTGTATATATAGTTTGGGATCATTATGATTTTTATTTTTTTTTATTTTAATTTAAAATAAATATACGTGTCTTCTTCTCACCAAGGCTGCATTATTTGATCATAAATGCAGTAAAAACAGTAATATTGTGAAATATTATCATAATTTAAAATAGCTTAGCTAGTAGTTTTCTTATTGAATACAGAAAGAAACATTAACTATATCACTATTGAAATATTTTTTCCTTTTTAATTTTGTGGAAACCATTATACATTACCATTCAAATATTTTATTTAATCTTTAATCTATTTAATCTTAGATGATATTATAGATTTAGATACGAATTATTTTCAAATTAATTAATTTAGTGTATATAATGAATAAATGTAAAGACATTTATAACATTGCAAAATATTTATATTTCAAATAAATCCTGTTCTTTTGAACTTATTATTCATCAAAGGATCCTGAAAAATCAAATGTATAACGGTTTCCACAAAAATATTGGGCAGCACAACTGCTTTCAACGTTGATAATAATAAGAACAAAATAAAACAGAGTGAACAAGGCAACAAATAATTTAAAATATACTACAAATTAAAATGTTAAAAAAGTCAAATTAAAAATAAATAAATAAAAAGCAACAAAATAAAGACACTCATTAAATAAATGACATGTTTAGATTTTTGGAGGAAAGCAAAGTGCTGCTGTGGTAATTGCTTGTGTGTTGTGGGTGGTTCAACCTCAGATCTCTAGATATGACTCGGGTCCCTCCTTCAGTGCAAGTCTGTGATTTGTGGTTGTCTGTTTTATCATCAGATAGAACCCTGTCTCTGTCTGTCAGCTGTGTGTGTTATGAAGTGACAGTAAACTGGATAGTGTGTGTGTGTGAGTGTGTGTATGCGTGTGTGAGAGTGAGTGTGTGTGTGTGTGTGTGAGAGTGAGTGTGTGTGTGTGTGTGCGTGTGTGTATGTGTGATCTCCGCTGTGTCCCATCTCGTGGTTAATGATCTGTTCTCGGCGGGAGAGTGTTTTTTGACGCGATCACTGTAAACGCAGAGATTCACACTAAAGGTGCTGTACGGAAGCTGGAGGCCAATTAAAATCAAAGCCAGTAGCGTGCGCTGGATCTGTGTGTGTGTCAGGAATTTTACTGTGGAGATCAGGTTTTGACGTCTGCTTTTTAACTGGTTTTTGCATCTTGGTTTAGACCCAGAGTTTGACTTATTTCCACAGTTCTTCCATGTTATCACATGATTATTACTGACATCTGAGCTTGGCATATTACATGCTCTTAAATGTTCCAGTAAAGCCAAATGTTGAAATTTTGCTTAAGTTTTATTAGTGTAATTACAAATCACACATCATCAATTTATTTGTATTTTTTTTGCGAGAGAGATCTGTTAGCTTACCATATATTTTTTGGGATCTCTGGTAGGCTATCTAATATATTATATTATATTATCTAATATAAATTTAGCCTAGCATTAAAAGTCCAGTCAGAAATCTAAAAATTAAAGTCATGAACTTAAATCATAATTATGGAAATCTAATTAACTGATATTTAATTCACTGTGGTTTTATTTATTTTTTATTATTATTTATTTATTTTACTTTTTTAATGTGTGTATTTATAATTTACATTTCTTTTTTTTTTCTTTAAATAATTTCACATCCAGTTGTAATATTTAATTATAATTAACGAGGCTCTGAAATCCTTCATAATTTAATTTTAGTGAAAACAGTCTAATATAGTGATTTCACATTTTGTGTGCGACCCTTTTAACACACAATTTTCACCCTTTGCAAAACAAAGTAACTCTTTAAAATTAAAAATATATATATCATGAAATTATGAAAATGTAATTACTTAAAGTTGTGACCCCAAAGACGAAACATAATTTAAACCTTTTCAACAGACTGTAAATAAATAATCACATTGCACTTTCTGTACATTTCCACAAATTGTGGTATTTTCTATATTCGACAAGATCAAATACTCAATCCTCTCACCCTAAATTTACTATACTCACAGCAATCTTACTTAGAATACAGAATACAAAAAAATCTGTGGCGGAAATGATGTTGGCCGTGATAAAAAAACATTCAAATTATGTATTTCAAAATGCAGAAGGTGTGATATATACAAAACGAAAATTTTAGATAGAAGCTGAGTGGCATGTCTCATATATAAATCACATTTTCTTAGCAAACAACTGAATTTGAACATAATTTTATGATTCACACAGATTTTTCAGACAAATTCTAAATACTTATTCAAAAAGACTAATATATTTCCAACATCTGACTGCTTTTCTTATCCAATCACAGATGCAAACATTGACATCAACTGAGCTTGAAGCAAACTTTTCTGAAACTAGTCTTTCTATCAGTTTCTATACCTATGTCTCACATAATGAATTGAATTGCTCACACATATAATTGAATGCTCTCTTACACATATTCATGCATTTCTTCCAGTCTATTCTGATCCTTGTTGGTGAATTGTAAATACACAGACATACACACACTTTTATCAAATGCCCTGAGACTTTAAATCAAAATGTTGCTGTCTGTGCCAGGAGACTCTCAGCTCTTCCATCATCACAGCAAACCTCCAAATCCACACAGAAATACTTCAGTGACCCCAGAATCAAGGTTTTACGGTCCCCTAAGCTAAACCCGTGGGCTTGAGCTGAACACAAGCTGAGCTTTAGTCCATCAGCCGGGACTAAACACTCTGATCTGGACAGATTTACAGCAGAGAAATGATCTTGGATCCTGTTATATGTGTTCTGCTGCTACTTCATCCAGAATTATCTGAAAAGACTTCTCTGAACTGTTGTGCCATGCAGGGTTTCCACACAAGAATATACATCTTATTCACTAATGATCTGCAATCCGGTTTAACGTGCATTGAAATATGTTTTTTTCTCTCTCTCGTTTATTTAAATTTAAATGAGGTTTATTATAGATTGTGTCTTATTCTCATTAATACATGCTATTTGGTTGATGCAAAAATTTTAATTTATCAATCAAATATTGTAAAACCCAAATTGATCTACCACTAAAGTGTACAAGCTTTTTTTTTTTTT